CATGAAATTAGAAGTATTTTTTCATTTCTTTTTGTTGGACTAGGTAATTCACCCAGAACTCTTGAATGATTCTGGAAAAGAAACAGTAACTACCAATAAGCATGACTGAGATTCTGTTTCCTGGATACTACAAAAAAATATAGGGGTTCAAGCCAGATTCTTACAATTTGGTTATAAATAAAAATAAGTTATTTTTATTCATTCTATTTATTTTCATGTTAATAGAACAAGTTCCTACTCAGTATCTGTCCAAATACTATATATAGTTTTATTTCACTTGGTAATAATGATACTAAACCAGGAGATCTACTACACAAGGATCTGCCTCTAAATTACTAAAATCCATGTAAAATACTAAAATGCTTTTTTTGGATATTTCTTTAAGGATGTATTTCATTTACACAAGAGGTCTTCAAAAAGTTCATGGAAAGTGCACATTAGGAAAAAACTACATATGGATTTCAAAACATGCTTTTCACCACAATAAATGTATACTAACTTGTCATGACATGTCTGAACAGGATTTAGTTTCAAGTACAGAAAAGGATCAGTTTGAAAAGAACACCTCTCAGAGCAACATGAATTCTGCTAAAATAGAAGCATGAACAACATAAAGTTTATGGTGAATGTTGTATAGAAGAATGGCAAAGTTATTAATGCTTTACAAAAAGTATATGTAGACAATGCTTCCAAGAAATAATTAGTTTACAAATGGATAACTCATTTTAGAAAGAATTAGATGATGGTGAAGATGAAGCTGGCTGTGGCAGAGCATCCACATCAATTTGCAAGAAAAAAATTCGTCTTTTTCATGAGTTAGTTGAAAAGAATGAGCAGTTAACACAGAAACATTAACCAACACCACAGACATCTCAAGGGGTTCAACTTACACAATTTTGGCTAAACAATTAAAGTTGAGTACATTTTACACTTGATGGGTGCCAGAAACGTGGCACCCAAATCAGCTGTAGACAAAACTAGAGCTTTTCAATGGAAATTTTAAACAAGCAATATCAAGATCCTGGAGTTCTTTGAAAAATAAGAATAAGAGATGAACTATGGCTTTGCCAGTATGATCCTCAAGACAAAGCACAACTGTGACAATGGCTACCAAGAAGTGAAAGTGGTCCAGCCAAAGCAAAAGAGCAAAGATCATGGCAACAAGTTTTTGGGATGCTGAAGGAATTTTTCTTGCTGACTTTCTGGAGGATTATCAAACAACAATATCTGCTTATTAAGAGAGTGTTTTGAGAAAGTCAGTAATAAGTTTAGCAGAAAAATGCTTAGAAAAGTTTCACCAGAGTCCTCTTCCATCATGACAATGTTCCTGCTTACTCCTTTCTTCACTCAAGAGCGATTTTGTGAGAGTTTCAATGGGAAATAATTAGGAATTCCACCTGATGGTTCTGATTTGCCTCCTTCTGACTTATTTTTGTTTCCTAATATAAAAAATCTTTAAAGGACACCTATTATTCTTTAGTTAATATGTAAATAAGTTTGTATTGGTATGGTTAAACTCCAAGAAACCTCAGTTATTTAGGGATGGACTAAATGGCTGATATTATCACTTACAAAAGTGTCTTGAAATTGATGGAGCTTATGTTGAGAAATAAGGTTTATATTTTTTATTTTTATATTTTAATTCATTTTCTCCATGAAGTTTTTGAAGTGCCTTTATGTGTATATATGAGATGTATGTATATGTGTACGTATATGTATAAATAAAAAAAGTATATACATGTTTATATATTTATATATATCTTTTTATAACCAGATACTCAAGATCCAATTATTTGGATTTTTTAGTATTTTCTTTTAATATTTTCTTGAGAGCTTGTTTGGAGGTTCTAGCAGGAAAGTGCAGCTACTCGTATACCCTTGAAGACCGGTCCTCCTCTATTGGGGTTGGTCATCCTCTTCAACCTAGCATGCAGCTTCAGAAGGAATGCACATGGAGCAGTGAGAGAGGAAGGCGACACCTCCCTAGCCAGCCAGATCAGCTGAATCAACCCTGGCGATCGATGGGGTGACAGATGTCCCAACCAGATCGCCCTCACATCTTTCTTTTAATATTTTCTAAAATTTTAAAAGTATTTTTCCTTTTTAGTCATGTTTTTATATTTTTTCAATTGCAGAAGATGCTTGGAAAGAGATGGGCCTATGTTTAAAGGCTAGTTTAGCAGTGATTTTTCTAGCTATGTAACCTTGGGCAAGTTATTAAATTCTTTATCACTTAGTTTATCAGTGTTATTAATATTAAAATTATTCTTTATCAATCATAATTCCTATCCTATAGGGTTCTTGTGAGTATTAGATGAAACAATTTATGCAAAATATCTAGCATATAACTGGCACTAGGTGGATTTTATTGTTTCGAAAACGAATAATTACTCTACAAATCCTATAATAGGTGTTTTTTAAAAATTTCAGTATTGGATCCTGGAGTTATGACATATATAGGGCCCACAGAGTTTATAGTGTTTCTTTGTTACTCATTGGTTATAAACATCTATTGTGAGGCTACCCAGGTCAATCCTCATAGATGTACCATGTAGTCCTTTTTTGAAGGCCTAGAAAGAGTGCAGGTTCCTCCTGCTGTTCTCAATTCATACTTCCCATTCGTAGACAATAGCTCTATAGTTTGTGCGAAAAGTTCCTAATCTCCCTGCTTGTTTCCAAGTGCTTTTCCTCACCCATCCCCACCACACCTCTATACCCATGTATTAATTAGGAATAGGCTAAACCGTGAATAACAGGAACCCAAAATGACAGTGGATAAATAAAAGCACAATTCTCTCTTATGCAGATGTCGGCAGTGGTTTTTCCTGAAATGATAGAATGTATCTGTTACAATAAATATACATCTTCCTATTGCATTGTTCTGGTATTCTTGACCACCATTACCAAGGCAAACTCATGACCCAAGATGGCCACACTGACTTCAGTTATTATGCCTACACTCAGGAAGACAGATGAGGCAAAGAAGTAAATAGAGGCAAGTGTAGATGCAAATTGACTTTGAGGAAAAGTATCCAAATCTGAAGCAAAATACATTACCCTAAATGAAATTTATTCACCTGTCCAAACCTAATTTGCAAAGGGTAGGAAATAATGTTATTTTTTTCTGGGCAGAAATGTCTAGAACTAAAAGTGTGACTATTCCTATTGAAGAAGGGGAAAAGAGATATTGGAGAAAATTAACAGTATCTGGCATGATCCACCACAAACTGCCTGACTTAGCCTGAAAATTATCTAAATCTTCCTCAAGGCTTTGACTTATGGAACATAAAAATCAGTAAGGTGTGTAGACTATTTCCACCGTCTGCCCTTCTTCATATCTCCTCTGAGGCACTAAACAGGAGCAGGCCTCCTTCATAAATAGATAAAGAAAATTCAAGGGGAAATGAAGCTTAAATTCACATCTGAAAAATTATAGAATTATATATGTCAAGTGGCTGACTTAACAAGCACTCAACAAGTACTCAATAAGAAATAGTCGTTATAAATTATCCTGATTAATCCAGGGTATTATACAAAGCACAGGATTTTTTTTTTTTTTAATTCATATAGTGGTACACTATTACCCACAGATTCTTCCTGGTCTACTGTTACATTTACTTTATATATAACTTTAAAGGGGTAAAAACAAATGAATAAATATATAACCCCTACTTACAACTCATGAAATTTTCCTTTATAGGCACATGTACCATCAGAACACAGCATTTTTGTTTTTGCTTATTTTGTTTAGATGTTGATATAATCTACACACGTATTAGTGATAATGACAATGTATTATAGTGGAAAGAAACCTTGAGCTAGAAATCACAAATAAATTACTGAAAAAATGGTAATATAATTTTTAGTTATTTCTTTGACTTTGGTCAAGTAAATAATATTTAAAGTTTTTAATACAAAATTTTCAGCAATTAATCAACTTATATTCTTGTTTTAGTGTTTGTTTCTATTCCAAGTTACCTTATTTATTCTACAGATGAATCATTAACATCGAATACAACCAAGAGCACCACAACTCATGTGTGAAGAAAGTGTCTCTAACACGTATGTTTTCTCCATAAAGTACATCATACCCTTCTTGTGCTTAGGAACACTGGATGGCACTTCTCACAGTGTTTCAGGAACATTTAAACAGCAAATCATCAAAAAATATCACAAAAAGTATAAAAAATATGGCATTGATAGACTACAAAAGAACACAATTTACAACATGAGACTTAATACAAGAAGGCAGAACTACTACTAACTCTTTCAGTCTGAGCTAGGAACATGTACATTGGCAATTGAAATATTTTACCACTGCACATGTGCATGTCCACAAATGACTGTGAATGTGCTTAAAGTATTAATCTGTGATTATAAATAAATTTTATCGAGTAGGTGAATCTGCAAATAATGAGAATTAACTCCACACACAAACATCCTCTCCCCAATACAAATATACATACTTCTATAAAAGTAAGTCATATATTTTTGCCCCACCTCCCCTGCCCAAAAGTAAGTCATATTTTAATAACAGTATAATATTCCACAGTATGAGTGTACTACATTTATATAAGCATCATTGAATGCATGCTTAGTCTGTCAATATTCCCTTTTGAATATTTGTGTTGATGCCAATATTTTCTCTCTATCAGGAATGCTGCAGTAAATATCCATGCACATTTACCCTCAAAACATTTATATTTATAGAAATTTATGAAAAATGACATTGCTGCAAAAGACTACTGTTTTGTGTAAAATAAAAGACTATTATTTTTATTTTAATATATTGTTCTTTAAAAATATTTTTTTCAATGTAGCAATTGACACTCTAATTGGAAATATATAGAAGCACCAATTTAAGGGAAAGTTACTTAACCTAGTTTTCCATACTTCATTTGTAAGAGTAACAACACATCAATTTCACATAATTGTAATAAATCTATGAAATAATATATATGGAAATATTTTACATGTTTAAGTGTTACCTATCTACTTACTTGAAGTTGCCCGGTTATGAGTATTCCATTGAAACAATGAATCAATATTTAACCATTTTCCTTATGGGCCTTCTTCAGGATATTTACATTTATTATTATTTTATCCTTCTTTATCTTTTCTCTGAGAGGAGGTAAATAACATTTTCTTTATGTATTTTGTTGAATAATTCTATTTTTTGTTTAAAATTATAAACGAATAAACTTTTCTAGAAACAATTCTAATGGCCAAATAATGATCAAACATGTATATGAATATATCAGTATATTTATATTGCCCTATATAAGACATTCAGATCTTTTCTCAAACATTATATCCAATTAACCTTATTGCTGTATAATATTGTACAATAAACTAAACTCATTTAAATTGTGCAATTCAATGAATTTTGATAGTTACATACATTTTAAAGCCTGCAATCAAGATACAGAAGGTTTTCTCTCCCCAAAAGAATTTTCTCATGCCCTTATATAATCAGTTTCTTCTTCCACCCTATAACCCTCAAATGGAATGATCTACTTTCTGTCACTGTAGATTTGTCTGCATTTTATAGAAGTTCATGTAAATGGAACTATAGTTGTGTGAACTTTTTTCTGTCTGGCATCTTTCAATGAGGATACCATTTTTGATTCTCATACATGTTGTGTGTATGCCTGGTGCATTTTTATTGCCAAGTGGTGTGCCATTTCTTGAGTATACTATCATTTTGATAATCCATTTACACAGTGATAGAAATCTGAGTGTTTTCCACTTTGTACCAATTTAAAATAAAGCTGCTATGAACATTGAGGTATAAATCTTTGAGTGTTCAGATGCTTTTACTGTGAAAATACAAGATACTGTGGTGATTACATATTTAACTTTACAAGGAAACTAACAAATAGTTATCTAAAAGTGCTTGTGTCACTTCCCATTTTTACCAGAAGTATATGAGGAGGGTTCCAGTTTCTCCATATTCTCACCAATGTTACTCTTAAGATTTTTAATTACAGCTATGTTAATGTGTATATAATGATATTTCATTGTGGTTTTAATTTGCATTGTCCCAACGACTAATGATGCTGAATATTTTTCATTTTCTTTCTAGCCATTTATATATCTTTTTTGTGAAATTATCATTTAAATATTTTGTCTACTTTTTATTAGATTGCTATGTTTAAACCTTTAAATATTTTAAGAATTTTAAGAATGCTTTACATATTCTTGAAACATGTTCTTTGACAGATAAATGCGTCATAAATAGTTTCTCTCCTTTCATGGTTTGTCTTTTTACTTTATAATGGTATACTTTAAAAACAAACTTTTTACTTTTATAAAAGTTTAATTTATCATTATGTATGTTCCTTTTCAGTTAATTTTTCTAAATAATATGAGGTAAGGACTGAGTTCATTTTTTAAATATTACTATCTGGATGTTCCAGCACTATTTTTTTAAGAATGCCCTTTCCTCATTGTATTCATTTCTCAAAAATCAATTTACCATATACATGTTTATTTATTTCTAGATTCTATATTTTTAAATGAATCTATATTAATCTTTTCACAAATAACACACATATCTTGATTATGGTAGCATTAGTAAAAATATTGAAATCCAGTATTATGACTCCTTCAACTTTGTTCATTTTCAATTGGTTTTCTATTTCATTTGCATTCTCATTTAAATTTTAAAATCAACCTGTCAAAACTGGCTTTTTCAATTATATGTCTTTTACTTATTTTTGGCTTACTGAAATTACTAAGACTGCCAACAGATATCTTGACATTTTTGTCTTGGCCCCATTCTTAAAGAAAAAAACTGTTTTTCTCCATTAAGTATATTACCTATAAAATTTCCATTAATTCTTTAATCAGAATAGGGAAATTTCTTCTAATTTACAGTTAGCCAAAAATTTGTAACTTCACTGGATATTGATTTGGTCAAGTGCTTTTCTTTTGATGCATCATCATCTTTATATTCCTGAAGTTAATATGTAAATGTTTTGTTAAAGGTGTTTTATGTATGTTCATGAAAGATACTAATATATATTTTTTCCTTGAAATATCTTTGTCTGGTTTGGGTATCAGAGTATTAGAGGTATCATAAAATAAAATAAGTCTGGATGTATTCACTCCTTATCTGTTTTCTGAAATAATTTTAGTCTTTTCTGAAATAATTTATATAAGATTGGCATCCTTTCTTTCTACAATTTTTTTTTGAGAATTCACCAGTGAAAGTCTCTGAGTCTGAGATTTATTAGCAGGAAAGATTAAATTTTGAATAAAATACATTTTGTTAATTAGAGGTGTTCAGAATTTCTATTGATTATATTGTCAGTTTTGTAATTTGTATTTTCAATAAATTTTTCTAGTTCAAATAAGTTGTCAAACATATTAGTATAAAGTTTTAAATACTATTTACTATTGTTTTAAAGACTATAAAGTCTGTATTAGCATATTCCCTTTCATTCATGATATTTATAATATTGCTTTCTTTTAAAATACTGTAATCAATCTTTCTAACAGGGGATGGTAAACCACAGTTCATGGGCAAATCTATCTTGCTACTTGTTTTAGTATCACCCCAAACTGAGAATGACTCTTATAATTTTAAATATTTGAAAAAATACCAGAAGTAGAAAAGCATTTTGTAATAAACCAAGATTACATAAAATTCAAATTTCAATGTCAATAAACAAAGTTTTATTGGAACACACCTGTGTACATTTATTTACAAATGATCTATGCTTGCTTTTATGCTACATCAAAGGAGTTGAGTATTTGTAACAAAGATCTCATGGCAGTAAGTCTTAAGAAGTATATCATTTATCCCTTTTCTGAAAATGCTTACTAATATGAGTTTAGAATTTTATCAATTTTGTTGATACTTCAAAAAAAAACCCCATCATTTACTTTTATTGATTTTTCTCCATTGGACATCTATTTTCTGTCTTGCCAGTTTCTGCTAGGGCCAGAGTACCATCTTGGAAGTAGAGGTCAGCCCTTCCCAGACAACTAAATTGCTAGCACTTTGGTCTTCAACTTGTCAGCTTTCAGAACTGGGAGAAATACATTTCTTTTTTTATTATTATTATTTTATTTTTAAAAATAAAGATGGGCTTTCACCATGATAACCAGGCTGGTTCTGAACTCCCGACCTCAGGAGAAATACATTCTATCATTTATAAATTACCTAGTCTGAAGTATTTTGTTCTAACAGCACAAACAAACTGAAACAATTAAATTATTAGGTGTTTATTCATTGGTAATTGCTGTATTCCTAATATTTTAATTCTTTTCTTATTAGAATTGTCTTTTCTCTATCAACAAGGCATCAATAAGATGCCTCGTCTTGAACAAATGCTGCCTGAAATTAATATTGCCACTCCAATATTTTCATGCTTAGTATTGGTATGGTGTGTAATTTTCCATCCTTCAACTATCTGTGTCTTTTTATTTAAATGCATCTCTTCAAGATAAAATATTATTGGTTCTTGCCTTTATACTTGGTCAATATCTGAATTTTGACTGAAGCTTTTAATCCATTTGTACATAAATTACAGATATGAGTTTATTTATGTCTCAATTTACTATTCATTTTCTATGAAATAGAAAGACATTTTTCTTTGTTCCTCATCTCCTACCTTCCTTAGTTTTAATATCTACTTAAATTTCTTTATTTTTGCCTATCCGCAACTTTTTGAATTATTTTTAATGATTTAGTTAAGTATTAAAATAATCCCATTTAAATTCCTCATCTATATAGAGTTAGTAGTGAAACACATCAAATAAAATACAGAAAACTTATGACAGTATATAATCATCTTTGCTCCACCAATCCTTAGTAATATTATTGACATATGTAGCTGATCTACCTACCTACCTATCATCTATCTATCTAGATAAAATATAAATTCATAAATGGTGTTATGATTTTTGCTTTAAATTATCATATGTATTTTTAAAAATTATCACATATATAAACACATATACTCTGTTTATGTATACTGTTAATATATGGTGTCATTTATATCCACTACATGTTTAGCATTTCCAGTGCTCTTCACTTCTTTGCATAGGTTCAAGTTGCTATATAATATCATTTCTCTTTCATCTAAAGTCTTGTGTTAAACATTTTACAGAGCAGGCCCATCAGCAACAAATATTCCTGTTATTTTTTGTAGGATAGTTTTACTATAATTCTCATTTGGTATTTTTTTTTTTTTAGCACTTTGACTACATCAATCCAATATCTTCTAGCCACCACAGTCTCAAGTTAGAAGTGAGTCATTAATTATATAATTAATTCCCTTTATGCAAATTTTCACTCCTCTGGATGCTTTCAAGATTTTCTCTTAATATTTGGCTTTCTGAAGTATGGCTATAATATGTCTTGGAGTATGTGTGAATATTTATCTTGTTTGGGGTATATCAAGTTTCTTCATTATGCAAGTAAATGCTTCACATGAGATTTTGGTGGATTTTGGTCATTAATTGTTTTGACATTTCTTCTTCTTCATTGTTTTATCTTAAAAATGTTTTCTTTGTGGCCATTTATATGTCTTTTTGGGAGAAATTTCCACTCAGTTCCTTTGTTTACTTTTTAATCAAGGTTATTTGAGGTTTTCTTGCTGTTGAGTAACGAGTTATAAGGGTTCCTTATATATTTTGGATATTAACGCTATCAGATATATGGTATATAAATATTTTCTCCCATTCTGTTGGTTGCCCTTCAGTTTGGTGATTGTCTTCTTTTTTGTGCAAAAACTTCTAGTTTGATGTAACCCTACTTACCTTTTGTTGCCCATGCTTTTAAATTCATAGGCAAGAAATCATTACTGAAGTCAATGTCTAGAAACTTTTTCCTGGTTTTTTTGTTTGTTTTTTCTTTTCTAGAAGTTTAATGGTTTCTGGTTTATTTAAGTCTTTAACCTATTTTGAGTTGATTGTTGTATATGGTATAAGATCAGGGTCCAGTTTCACTGTTTTCCATGTATAGAAGTTTTCCCAACATCATTTATTAATGAGACTATTTTTTCCTCATTGTCTATTCTTGGTACCCTTGTCAAAAATCAGTTGACCATATATGTATCTGCTCCATTAGTCTATACATCTGTTCCATTTGTCTATACATCTGATTTCATGGCAGTATCAGGCTTCGTTTCTCTTGCTCAAAATTGCTCTGGCTATTTGGGTTCCATATAAATTGTAAGCTTGTTTTTTTTCTACTGGAAAAAGTGCCACTGAGATTTTGTAGGAATTACATTGAATCTATAGACTGCTTTGGGTACTGTGAACATTTTAACAATATGAATTTTTTTTTTTCAGACGGAGTCTTGCTCTGTCGCCAGGCTGGAGTGCAGTGGCTGGAGTGCAGTGGCTGGAGTGAGTGCAGTGGCTGGAGTGAGTGCAGTGGCTGGAGTGAGTGCAGTGGCTGGAGTGTAGTGGCTGGAGTGAGTGCAGTGGCTGGAGTGCAGTGGCTGGAGTGCAGTGGCTGGAGTGAGTGCAGTGGCTGGAGTGCAGTGACTGGAGTGCAGTGGCTGGAGTGCAGAGGCTGGAGTGCAGTGGTTGGAGTGAGTGCAGTGGCTGGAGTGCAGTGGCTGGAGTGAGTGCAGTGGCTGGAGTGCAGTGGATGGAGGAGTGCAGTGGCTGGAGTAGTGCAGTGGCTGGAGTGCAGTGGATGGAGGAGTGCAGTGGCTGGAGTGCAGTGGCTGGAGTGAGTGCAGTGGCTGGGGTGCAGTGGCTGGAGTGCAGTGGCTGGAGTGCAGTGGCGCAATCTTGACTCACTGCAACACCACCCTCCTGGGTTCAAGCAATTCTTCCGCTCAGCCTCCCAAGTAGCGGGGACCACAGGTGCACCAGCTAATTTTTGTATTTTTAGTAGAGACAGGGTTTCACCATAGCAGGATTGTCTCCATCTCTTGACCGCGTGATCTGCCCACGTTGGCCTCCCAAACAACATTAAATTCTTATAATCCATAAGTATGGATGGCTTTTCACTCATTTGTATTTGCTTTTTTAAAAAAATCAGTGTTTTATAGTCTTCAGTGTACAATCTTATACCTCTTTGGTTAAATTCATTCTTAGTTACAAAAAGTAAAAATAGAATTACCATGTGATCAAGTAGCCCCATTTCTGGATGCATATTTTAAGGAATTAAAGTACAGATTTTGAAGAAATATTTATATTTCCATGTTCATTATAGCATTATTCACAATAAGATGGAAACAACTGAAATACCCATAAATGGATTAAAAATGTAATATCTATATATACAATGGAATGTTTGTATTCAGCATTAAAAAGGAGAAGAGAATTGTGCCATTTTCAACAACATGGATGAACTTGGACATTATGTTGAGTAAAATAAGCCAGACACAGAAAGACAAATACTGCACGTTATCACTTATATGATTCATCTAAAATAATCAAATTCACAGAAGCAGAGAGTGGAATGGTAGTTGCCAAAGGAGGAAACAAGGAGATATTAGTCAAAGAGTACAAAAAGTTCCTGTTATATGAGCTTTATAAGTCCCAGAGAACTACTGTACAGCACAGTGCTTACAGCTAACAATATTGTCTCATACACTTAAGAATTTGTTTAGAGTCCATCTTATTTTAAGTGTTTTCATCACAAGAAAGTAACAATGACAATAAATAAGAGGGCAGGAGTGAGATTTTGGAGGCAATAGATAGTCTTACAGCATAGATTGTCGTAATGCTTTCCATAGTGTATACTTACATCCAAACTTTTTAAGTTGCACAGATTAATTATGTATTCCTTCTTCTTTGTCTAAAAAGATGATGATTTTGTAAAAATTTCTAAAGAAACTGTTAGTTAACTCAAGGCAAAATAATATTTGAAAATGTCACCATATGACTAGGTGAAAATTTTTCTGAGAATAAAAGTTGGTCCAATACAAAAAAAAAAATCTACCAATATAATTCTCCAAATTAACAGAAAAAAAAAACCCAAAACTATTGTAAGGGTTAATTTCATGTCTACTTGACTAGCAAAGGGATTCCCAGATAGCTGTTAAACACTATTTCTGACTGTATCTATAAGGTGTTTCTGTAAGAGGTTAGCATTTAAATAAGTAACCTGAGTAAAAAAAATCCACTGCCACCAGTTTGAGTGGGCACATTTAATGCCTTGAAGGACTGAATAACACAGGAAGGGAGAACTCATTCTCTCTCATCTTGAGCTGGGACATCCACCTTCTCCTAACCTCTAACAGAATAGCTCCTGGTTCTTGGAATTTTGGACTAGGGAACTTACACCAGAACTCACCCTCCACCCCTGTGAAACACACACATTCCATTCCACCTTTACCCCTCCCCAATTTTCTAGGCCTTTTGACTCAAATTGAATTATACCACTGGCTTTTCTAATTCTCCAGCTTATATATGGCATGTTGCAGAACTTTTGGCCTGCATAATAGCATAAGCCAATTCCCATAATATATATCCTGTGTCCTGTATCTATACCTTCATAAGCTACCAGTTCTGTTCCTTCAGAGAATTCTGAGTAATACAATCATTTCAAGAAACAATTATTAATAATTTTAAAAGTCTACACAAATTAAATAGATAAAAACTTCATGACTTGGTAAAAACTGTATATTAAAAATAAACAGTAAATATATA